ATAGTGCAAAAGTCATAAGTATTATTTTTAAGTACATTTTAAGCACTATACTCTCATGTTTTATTTTTTATCTTTGGGGCAACGTATTACACAAATATGTAATATTTCCTATGAAAATGTAGGATAAGTTTGTTAAAGTTTGGTTAAAGGCTAAACCAGGGATTCCCAAAATATATAAATATTGATAACTAAAAATATATATAAAAGTACCCCCTAAGATTTTAATTTAATATTTCAATAATTTAACAACACATTAATGTTCATGGTTCTCTAATGTTGCTTAATAGTTACATGACATACATGTAAACAAGTACAATATTTAATTTTTTAAGTGTGTCTTATTTTAATTAATTTTTATTTTACCATTATTTATTTTCATTTTACATTTTAAAGATGTATTTATCAGACTTTCTTTTAATTAAAAATCAGCCTTTATTTAAATACATAAATAGATTATTGTTTGTCTGATAAACCTAGCATTGTATATTATGAATATTGTTGGCTCTTAGACAAATTTCTTTTGTTCTTCTGTCGTACGTTGCTTAGGATAAAAGCATAAATGCAAATGTTAATGTTTTTAACTGAACAAGAGATTTCTGAGAAGATTTTGAGTGACTGACAGCTCAAATTTGGATATTTTTCCTCACACAGATCTATACATAGTACACAATTTGTATGTACTAGTGTTATGATCTTATCACAATGCTTTTTTGAAGCACAAATTCTGCCTAACATCTTTTGTGGTTCTTGATATAAAGAAAGTCATGTGGGTTTGCAGTTAAGGGTGAGTGAATGACAATAAAATCATAATGTATGACGAACGGATTGACCGATGATTTTATCTGAAATAGCTTCAATTGCATTTAAAGTTGTACATTTGATCAGTTCTTGAATCCCCCAGGGAATCGAACCCACAACCTTGGCATTGCAAGTGCCATCCTGCTGTTTGAGCTACAGGAAAGCCCCTATAAAAATTTCTTATAAAAATTCCTGTAGCTCAAAAAGTAGAGCATGATTCTAGCAACACCAAGGTTTTGGGCTCGATTCCCAGGAAATGCATGAACTAATCAAACCTTCAATGCAGTGTTAGTTGCTTGGAATGCAAAAAAAAAAAAAACAATGCTTCTCTCACCGCTGGGTCGCTCTCATGGGTGAGTACATGACAATAAAATCATAATTTGGGTGAGCTATTCCTTAAACTTATCCTACATTTACATATATGCATTTCACTCAATTTGTACATTTGATCAGTTTATGTATTCCCTGGGAATCAAACCCACAACCTTGGCATTGCGATTAACACCATGCTCTACTCTTTGAGCTACAGGAATGCTTTCCTACTGTATATTTGAATAGCTCAAACAGTAGACACTAGCAACGCCGTAGGTTCGATTCCCAAGTAATGCATGAACTGATCAAATTTGTAGCTTGAACGCAATGCAAGTTGCTTTGGATGCATTAAAAAATAGCAATGCATTTTTCACCATTGGGTCATTCTTGTGGGTGAGTAAATGACAATAAAATCACAATTTTGGAGTGAACGATTCCTTGAACTTAGCTTGCATTGTATACATTCGGCAGACACTTTTATCTAAAGCGACTTAAATTTCATTCAAGTTGTACATTGGATCAGTTTATGCATTCTCTGAGAATCGAACCCATAGCCTTGGCATTGCTATTAGCATCATGCTCTACTGTTTGAACTACAGAACGCTTTCCTATATTTTCGTAGCTCAAATAGTAGAGCATGGCACTAGCAATGCCAAGGTTGTGGGTTCGATTCCCAAGGAATGCATGAACTGATCAAATGTACGTGTACCTTAAATGCAGTGTTGCTCTGAATGCCCTAAAAAAAGCAATGCTTCTCTCACTGTCGAGTTGCCCTCATGAGTAAATGACAATAAAATGATAACTTAGGGTGAAAGATTCCTTATGCTTGCACTGAAGTTGTACAGTTCATGCATTCCCTGGGAATCGAACCCACAACCTCGGCAACACCAATGCAGCATGTTCTACTGTTTGAGCTACAGGAATGCTTTTCTACATTATCATAGCTCAAATAGTAGAGCATGGCATTAGCAATGCCAAGGTTGTGGGTTCGATTCCCAGGGCCTGCATAACTTGATCAAATGTGTTAACTTGAATGCAATTTAAGTTGCTTTAGATGCATTAAAAAAGCAATGCATCGCTCACCGTTGGGTCGCCCTCATAGATGACCTGCCCCATGAAGTCGGTGTAAAACACGGCCTCTGCGATGATGGAGAACCACGTGACCAGATGACACACGCACAGTCTGAACAGCTCTTTGGGCATCTTCAGCATGGACATCCAGAGCAGACGGACAGTGGTCTCGGCCTCGCCCTCCTCGCTCTCCGTGTCCCCGCTGGAGTTGGTGTTCCCGCTCTGGTGCCTCGCTCTCTGTCCGTTCCTCTGTTTCTGCCGCTTCTCCATCTCGTAGATATCGTTCATGCTGCGGGACGGTTTGATGAGGAACGCGGCGTTGGCGCGCCGGTAACGGTAGCGGTGGGATCCGACCCGGCCGTAGTAGGAGAAGGTGCATGACGACTGTCGGTAGAATGTGTGGCGTCTGCGGTGCATGGATGCGTTGGTGCTGGAGGGATTGATACCGGGCGGCCCGTGGCCGTTGAGGTCCGTCGTATGTCCGTTGGGCGCTTTGGATTGGTTGAGCTGACTGTTAAGCAGAGCTTCTTCTCCGTCACGTTCGGCCTGCTGCAGAAACGCAGACAGTCGGCTGAATTTTCCGCGCAGGAACTCTTGGCTCTCTACACTGCTGCTGCGCCGTGGCAGCGACCCGTGATAGGAAGAAATGCGATCTTGGAAGATAGACGGCTCGATTTCACGCAGAAACAGCATGTCGTGGTGGTCCAGCGTAGCGTCGGCCATCGCCAAAACGGAGTCGCTTTTACTTCGAACGATGTCCACATCTAAAAAGTCCATGTCCAGCTCTCGCTCTGATCGCCGGTCCGCGTAGAGGTCGTAATGCTCGTAGGACTCGTCTTCATGGATCATTTCGAGCTGGGGTTGGTGTGCTGCGATTTTAACACTGGATTCGGTTTCTGCCTCTTCATCCAGACGGTCCTGTTGAGGGCTGAACTGCTGCTCCTCGATGCTGAACAGGTGCAGAGCCACGGAAACAGTGAACAAAACCGCGGCGAACAGGAACAGAATTTGCTCTTGAGACTTGAAGGTTCGACCCAAGAATGTGTGCGTCCAGTCAAGACCACCGAGGGCGTAACCAACCGCCCCTCCGAGCCCTTAAACACAACATACACAGTTTAGCACTCATTCTATATGGACATCTATACAAAAATAAAGCTTTTAGCTTTTTGACAAGCGATTTTAAAGGCAATGTGTAAAAAATATTTTCTTATTTAGTGTTTTTGTCTTATTTTCTATTAATCCATTATTTAAAAAAAATTATACAAATATTATAGAATTTTAAATTTAAGATGCATTGACTTGTGAAGGAAAATTACTATACTATAATATTTTATGCCACTGATAAAAATGATTTTTATTTTTATAAAAATGATTTAATAATTTTATATTTTTATTCGGAAAATTATTTAGCTTGAAACAAGAAAAATATCTGTCAACGAGTAAGTACAAAAATATTTAATACCCCATGACATTTTTTGTCTAGTTTTAAGCATAAACTTACATGAAAAAAACAAATAAATAACAGAAAAAGTCATTTAGCTTCTCAAAGAAATGTATATTGATTTAAGAATGTTAGATATTTGTACATCAAAATAGTCTGCAGAAATTATTTATTCTCTAGTATTTTGTTTCCTATTTTCCAGCATAAATATCTAAACATTCTAAGGTCAATATACTGTACATTTGCCTTGGAAATAAATGACTTGACATCTATCAAAATTATGACTAAAACAAGAAAATGGGCTAAGGGCAAAGAAAAATTTGAAAAAAGTCAGTTTGCAAGTAAATATATCTTGATTTAAAAATAGATGTACAGTAAAAGAAAAAAGAAAAAAAAGACAAAAATCATTTTTGGCCTGAATTGAGTCATAGACTGTAGCTGACAGTCACATAAATAACTGCAAAATGAGATTAAACACAAAATAGAGTGCCAACTGCATTTATCAGCAGTGTGAATGTGGCTTATGACTCATGCCAATCAGTTCTTCAAGCTTTTCATGTTGTGATGTACAACTGAAACAAGGCTGCACCTGCAGAGAAGGCGTGGATGTTGAGGGCCATGTCCTGTTCCTCAGTGTCAGCCACGTCCAGCAGATATGCTCGTATGGGACCCTCCGTCGCATCCGCACAGAAATCCAGCACCACCACCCCCAAAACAGTCATCACGATTCCTATCAGCTGGTTATTTGGCACGTCTCCCATAGCAAGACCTGAGACAGACAGACACAAACAGGTTACGTTACGAAAAATAATCAATAGCATTTTTCAGTGTGTGTGTGTGTGTGTGTGTGTGTGTCTGTGTGTGTGTGTAATATATATATATATATATATATATATTAAAAAGTGAAATAATTTTAATTATTCAGGTCACTTGACTTAACTTAAACAGTAATTAAAGCAATACATAAATATATATATATATATATATATATATAAATAAAAAACATATAAATTTTTTTTAAGTACCTAACAAAACTAAAAAAACAAAACTTACTAAAACAAACTAAAATCAAACCTGAACGTTTAAAAGCTTCAAAATTCAAAATATCAATAAATACTATAACATTTTATAAATAATTCTAAAATAACTGCTCTAAAAGGATTTAAATGTGTTAAATATAGCTGCATTTAAATGATGATCGAAAGCATTTTCAAAATTGCCAACATATTCAATACAAGTTTTACATTCTTTAATATAATTATTTGACTAGAAAGGAAACAAATAAACAAGCAAACAATACTAATTTCATATTGATGAAGGTCAACACAGTATTCATATAATAAATAAAAGTCCTTTTCAAACAATTGTATTTTCTTTGATAAAGTTTTGGATCACAAAAAACAATTATATAATGTGTCTGAAACATGTAAAATACATTAATATTCAAACAAAAGATTATTTTGAAAACACAGCACAAAACAATAGGTTTTTAAAGTACCCACTCTTTATGAAATGTTATTTCTATAATCCCCGGTCATGCATAAATGACATTTTTATAGGTCAAAGGTCAAAAGTCATCAGAAATAAATAGAAACTGATGTGAAGATGTAGTTTATCACATTAGTTGTTTGAAAGCACACACACACAAAGTGGTCAATGCAGTGAATGATGGGAGTTCTGCAAAGGCTAAAATATCAACAATCAATGCTAACATACAGCAGATTACACGTCAGCGCTCACTGCTTGTGTGCTCCGGAGTGCACATTTACCATTCATCAATATTTCATACAGACTTTCAGCATATATGCGACACACAGGCTCTGGGAACTCAAACATCCCATAATGCATACAGTATGTGTCCTGACCTTGATCTGCTGCATTGTCATCCCATGAGCCATTGTACATGTATGTGTGTGTGTGTGTGTGTGTGTGTGTGTGTGTGTGTGAGAGAGTAAACACACAGACATGTATTGATTGTTCAGGCTTATTTTAGAGCTTTTCCAGGGTTTCAGTAGCATTTGTGCTTCTACAGCCTGAGCCTTCTACAACCTGAGGGAAAACATGTTTAATGTGTGTCATTTCTGGTGTTTGCTACTTCTGACAATGATCTGAATTAACCCCGAACACAAAATATCAAACTTTAGTGTTTCCACACTGAATGAATGATTTCATTCATAAACGATTCCTCACTGAGGACAGATGTGCGGTTACTTGTGATTGATTTTTGCCTGGTGAATTATAAAATTGGGAAAATAATCCCATAGACTTACACTGAAGAAAGGACCTGATAGAAACTTGTGGTGACATACACATTACTAGCATCGTGTTAGTGCAACAGTAAAATAAAATAAAATATATAAAAAATAAATAAATTATAAAAATAAAACAACATTCTGGCAAAATCCACAACATATTACCATCACAAATAAAATAAAATAAAATAAAGCATTTTATAAAAAAATAAATAAAATGCATCTAAAATATTTTTAAATGCAAAATAAATTAAAGTAAAATATAAAAAAATAAAATGACATTTAAAATATATAATAAAAACAAAACTGGCAACATCCACAACATACTAGCATGTGCACCACTACAAGAAAGCAGCATGAAATAAAATAAAAACATGTTTTTTAAATAATACAAATAAAATTAAATTATAAAATGGATCTAAAATCTTTACTGAATGCTACAATAAAATTTAATATTTAAAAATAATAAAATTAAACATTACAAATATAATAAAATCAAAATCTCATAAAAAAATTAAATTAAAAACTCTTAGAACACCATATAAACTACTTAGTAACACCCTGGCAACATCCATAACATACTAAAATCATGATGGTATACCACTACAAGAAGTAAAGTAAAGTCTTTCTTAAATGCTAATAAAATAAAATATTTAAAAAACAGTAAAACATGTAAAATATAATATAATAAAAATAAAACTTTTAGAACACCATAAAAACTGCTTTGGCAACATCCACAACATACCAGCATCATGGTGGTGCACCACAAAAATAAAAAAACAAATAATAATAATAAAACAAAATAATAAAATAAAATAACTCTTTCTAAAATCTGTTTTAAATGCAAATGTATTGATGCAGTATTTTTCAACACTGTTCTAATATTTAGTGTATAAATCTGTAAAACAGACACAGAGGGCGGAAGCTAGTTTAGACTCATAGCTCTGTGTCATGTCAGCGGGAGGCGGAGTATTACGCTTTCTTCCTGACAATGGAGTCGGTGCGCAGCTAGCTAGCTATGGAGACAGGAAGTTGTTCCAGATAGGCAATGAAAGGTAAAAAAGGGCACAACAGGAAACAGTTCCCTGTGAACTGGTTCCTAGTCCTTTCCCATGTCATAGAGACCGCCGGAGCTCAT